GTTGGGCTAGGGAAGCAAAGACTCTACAATCTCTCGGGGTCACCTGAAGGATCAAGGTGATGCCAAGAGAAATCTACAAACTTTGAAGTCAGTATATCCTTTGTTTTGGTCTGGCATATGCAAGAAAAACAAGCCAAGCTGGGAAAAAAACAAAATCAGAGAAAAATAACACCATGCACAAACCTGTGGTCTGACTTCAGTTTTAGAAGCAGATGCTGTATGAAGGTGTTACTGCACTCTCTGAGGGCAGGGTCTATTGTCTGAAATAAAGCTGTGTGACATTATTCAACCCAGGCAGCACAGGGGAACAATGAGAGAGTAGTGAGGGTAAAGAGGAAGATGAGTCTCTTTGACATTGTCTTCACTTGACACTGATGCTTGGCCAGAGCTGTATTATTTTCATACTCTATCATTGCACTGGGGGAACACCTTCCAGAGCCATCCATCAATCCTGACCATGTAAGTATGCATTAAATTCAATGAAACAGAGTTTTGTGTCTTTGGGGACCAAATATGGGATCCTATAACTACCACAACTGCAAGCCTATCTTCCTGACAGCCCCAAGGAATTTACACTGAGCAGGCAGGGAGGGAACAGACCTTGGCACCACCCCAGAAAGAACTAAAAGCTAACACAGCCTGTGTGACTGCTGCCCCAGACATACTCCTCTTTTCTTGGGAGATCTTTCTGGGAAAACATATGATTGCCTTAAGCTCTTGGTAGTCTGCCTGCTTTTTAATTAGTAGATCACTTTGAACGAAACTGCAAAAGAATTTAGGTCTTTGGAAACATTGCCAAGCTTCAAACAAAGAAAATTAAGAGACATGAATTATAGTAGAAACAAGTGTTTTGCACTAGCTCTGCAGTGATTTAAGGAGAAAAAGTGGTATTATACCTGTGTATAAGAACAAACTATGACAGTAAAATCCAGCAAGGCAAGTGACAAACTGAAACTGCATGGCAGCACCAGAGAAAATGTTTAATTCTATACCTAGTCCAGCTTTTGTGTGTTTTAAACTTTATTTGTTAAGGATGCCTATGTAAGAAACCCTAGAAACGAATAGTTTACAGGAAACACAAACATGAGTGCCCTGGAGAACAGGGAAAGTGTGAAAAAAAAAAAACAAAACAGAGAACATACAGACCCAAATGGGGTGGTGAGGAAAGGCTGGTGTGGAACTGAAAATTAAGATAATAAGTTATGTAATTGTCCTAGGGTGACTTTATGATGCGTGTATCCCCAGTCATCTGTTGTTTATGCTGGGTATTAAGTTCTTCACCTTTAAGACTGGTTCTGAGATCTAACTGGGGAGAAGAAGCACAAGTTTGTTATCAGAAACTGCACTTATTCCCTGCATCCTTCTCACAGACTGTGCTGTCTGCAGCATGGAGAGCAGAGAAAGCTCTCCTTTGACTTTAGTTAATTTTTAGCTGGCTGAGGCAGAGAAGTTCTCTGGACTGTGGCTTTTCTTTTGCTTGGAGATGTTCAGCCCTGCTCTGGACTGAGGACCCAGAAAAACACCAGGAGCTCGCACCTGTGGCCTATTGGGGACCAGGAGGCGGCACAGGAGGGACTGGTAAGAGACCGAGTGAGGTGAGCTACACCCCACAACAAGGACTGTCTGAATCTGCCATCTCTTCAGAACACTAAGTTTAATATTGTTAATATTATATTGTTTAATTAATATTGTTTAATATTATTAAATTTTCATGTTTGTAAGTACTTTGCTAGCTAAATAAACATTTTTTTCTACTTTTCTCCAAATAAATATTTTCTGAACCAGTAGAAGGAGGGGCTGCTTGAATTTGCTTTCCAAAACTACTCATTCAGAAGTTTCCTCTCAAATTTGCCCTAAAAAAAGACAGTAATAAACCAAGAAGAGACGTGAGACTTAGTCAATCAATAAAGACTAAAATGAAGTAAGATTAGTGATAGACTCAAGACGAGTCACAAAGGATCATGAAGAATGTTGTGTAAGAGCCCAGATTTTAATAACACATTTTCTGTAGGGTGATGTTCTAGAAGTAAGCTGTTTACATATGTTGATACACAATCCAATGAACACGCTATTCATTGAACTCCTTTGTTTGTCCCATCTTTAAGTAGAATATACTTCTTTTAGGACAGACTGTCATAATCTCTCTTCAACAGCTGAGGGCACTCCATGACCAGCTAAATGAAAAACATGATTTTACCAAAAACTAAGGTGAAGTTGGAGATCTATTAGCTAACCTGTTAGCAGAAATCAAATTATGAAGACAGCCAAATGAAAGGTCAGGGCTGCCTGGCAAATAAGTGTGGGCTGCCACCTGAGTCCAATATGAATTGTGTAAGAGCATACTGAATTGGCTTAGACAGGCTATTGGGTAGGGAATTTATATTACTGGCACCAAATATTCAGAAGGTTCAGTGGCGAGTCAGTCTGGAAGCCATGTATATTGTGTTGGTCCTGATTTCATATAAAGCTTTGGTTTCCCTGGCAAAACATGCTCATAAATACAGTGACGAAGCCCTGCAATATTAATGAAGTTGGAAATCCAGGACTTAGTGTTCCTCTTTCTGGAAATTTAAGTCTCTGAACACCTCACTTTCATAATGTTAAGGTAAGAATAAGAATTCCTGACAAGACCTTCTTCCCACAAACCTGTGATCATACAGCTTCTGACTCTCAAATTCCCATTCCCCATTTGAACCAGGGATTTATGCACACCCAGTCTTCCCAGGCCCTTGGTAATATGGGGTTTAACTGTATACTTGTGTCCAAATGGAGCTGTAGGAATAAGAGATTGCTTTTTTTTTTCTAGAGATAGAGACAGAAGGAATGCATGAGGCCTGAGTGTGGGCTAGGTTTGCTCTGTGTCTTGGCAGGGAAACTAATGCTGTATACTAATTTGGCTACAGAGCTGCTGCTATCTTAGCCAGTTTTCAAATAAGCTCCTTCTGCAGGCTGCAGGTACATTTGAGCATTTTGCTAATGTAATTTGGAAGAAAAAATGGGAGATTGCAGAGCACAACCTAGAATGGCTTTTCTCTGTAAAATATAAAAAGGTCAGTTTCAAACATTAACTGCAATGTTATTTTATCCAAGAGATCACCTTTAGAAGAAAGTAAGTTTGCTTTGTAAAACTTCACGATAAATATTATGGTGAACTTGGCACCTTGAGATAAGTGTAAGGTAAATGCTCCCTATGAGAAAGTGAGAAAATCACTTAAGAGTAGCCGCTGCATGGGACAGCCCAGCAGCCTTATGGCCTCATGTAATTCACAGGGAACACAGCTTAAATTCTTTGTTTCAGCAAAGTAGATACAAATAGTGTCAGTCCTGCTTATCAGAATACTATGTGTACTTTAACCACGTGCCCGTGTCCTTTTAAAAAGCTTAACAATCTTCCCTAAACCTTTATCAGACAAAGCTTGTTTTTCTTACATTTGGTTTTGCCATGTGCAGTACCACTTCTTTCCATAAGAGGGAAAACGTGTACTTCTTTTCGGCCTATTTCCCCTTTCCGCAAAAGCCTTTCAGTGCAGCAGACCAAAGCAATGTACTGACACTAAACAAAGGAAAGAGAAAACACGTTTATTTGTAACTTATTTTGCAAAAATAGGCACTCTTTTGGAGAAAGGTAATGTTATGTGAGGGTAAAAACATTTGTCTAGGAAGTCAATGCCTGTGAGACAAAGGGCTAAGGGGGCACAGGTCTGAACAGTGTCTATATCCCAATTTTTCCTTATTTTTCTTTTTACCTCTACCTCTGTGGTTAATGACTAGCAATACTAATAGGTTTTGCAGAGTGAGTTAGGAAGGCACCTGAATGCAGCAGCAAATGTCCATTAAAAACTGCAGATGATGAGTGTATACAATCCAGTATACTTAACACTTCAGCATTGTTACCTTCCTGAAGCAAAACCTATGGAGAGAAACAAATACACAATGGTTTGGGATGGGGGGACTTTGTGTGTTCTGTTAAGACATGCATCCTGTTGTTGACACTCTAAAAAATAATGCTATGTTATTTTAAGATGTGAAATGAGAGATTTTAAGGGACTGACACTGACAATTTCATGCTCTGAGAGCAATTCCTACCAAATTAACTAGTCCTTGATTTTTACCAGCAACAAAAGCAGGTAGAAGTATTTTGTCTGCAAATAACAAAATACTACTTCAGAAATGTGCAACATTAAGAAAATTATGAATTGTGGCATTCTTGAATCTTCAGAATGGAGAAATGTAAAACTGTTTCACATATCAGTATTTTCCTCCCACACCACACTTCACTTTCTAGCAATTGTCTGTACAGAGGCCCTGTACTACGATTGCCTTCAGGTGCCTTCCAACTTGATTCACTTGCTGCTTATGAAGAGATTTGAGAGCTGACTGCTGCCAGACAGCTGTGGGGGGTGTCCCCAGCCATGAGCTCTCCTTACAAAGGGAGGGACACGATAGTCCCTTGTCAGTGGGGCATTCGTGCCAGTGATTTTTACCATCTGAGCAAGCCCATGGGCCCCAGCTCCATCCTGGCCCTGTCTCTCTGCTGTGGTGGAGCTGCTTTAGAATCGCAGGCGGGACAAACTCCTTCACGTGCAGAACAGGCACGCGTTACGCGACTGCTTCGACAGCTCGGACGGTCCATCGCCAATCCCCAGCGCCCCGCACATAGCGAGGGAAACACCTCTTTGTCACCTCTTTGCTGAAGCTCTCTTTGTCGAGCTCCCAGGCAGCGGCCGGAGCAGCCTCCCTCGCTGAAGGGGGACAAGAGCCTGTTCGCCCAGCCGCTCCGCTCTGCTCCCGCCACACACCGCCCTGCAAGGGAGGGCGGGGCCGCCCGGCGGGAGAGGGCAGAACAGGTCAGCCCGGTGCCGCTCGCTGTGCCCGGGCCCTGCCGGGGCCGGGCCGGGCCGGGAAGGCGGAGCGGAGCCCGGGCGGGGACCGCCCCGCAGCGTTGGGGCGGAGCCGCCACACTCTTCATAAAGGGCGAGCCGGGGCGCCGCTCCGCGTCTGGAGCAGAGCGGCAGGGAGGTGTGCGGCGGGTGGAGCAGGGCTGGGAAGGGCAGGCAGGACGGAGCCGGCGGGGTGCGGTGATGGAGCTCCTACGGACTATCGCCCACCCGCCGGGCGGCGGCGGTGCCAAGGGCTGCGAGGCGGCGGCGGGCAGAGCGGCCGGCGGCGAGTCACGCAGGAAGAAGGCGGAGGAGCCGCCGCACCAGCACGGCCACCCCGCAGCCGAGGTCTCCCGGATTATTACCGACCCCACGACGGGGAAGCGTTACTGCCGCGGCAAGGTGCTCGGAAAGGTAATGGCCGCGGCGAGCCCCGCGCCCTCCCGAGGCGGGGCGGCCGGCGGGCGCTGCCCTGCGGGGCTGCGTTTCCCCGGAGAGCGCCGCGCCGCCGCCCGCGACCTGCCCAGCGCCGCCCGAGCCGGGCGCTGTGCGTCCGAGCGCCTTGCTGCCCCGGAATCGTGCCTTCGGCTCGGGCGAGCCCGCGGGAAAGCCTTGGATGCTGCATGCGGGGAGTGGGGAGCGCGAGCCTTCCAACAGACGGTGAACGCGGGACCTGTCCTTAGAAAATTGCCCTTTGCTAAGGAAGTTGCACTTCTTGACTAATACATTAGCTGGTGAATGACTAACTGCGGGACTGCATTTATACCTGCTCTAATTGCCTCTTTCTCTTATGTCTCTGTAGGGTGGATTTGCCAAGTGTTACGAGATGACAGACTTGACAACAAATAAAGTTTATGCTGCGAAAATCATTCCTCACAGCAGAGTAGCAAAACCTCATCAAAGGGAGAAGGTATGTATGCATGAATGATTTTTTTTTTCCTTGAACTCTTTGTGCGCTGGATTGCCTACCCCTTTCCCTGAAATGGTTTTGATAGAGATGTCTGTTCACGCTTGTGGAAGTAAGACTAACAACACCTTCCTTCTTTCCCACTGTTTTGTCTTTACAGATTGATAAAGAGATTGAGCTGCACAGAATGCTTAATCACAGACATGTTGTGCAGTTTTACCACTACTTTGAAGATAGAGAGAATATTTACATTCTTCTGGAATACTGCAGCAGAAGGGTGAGCATCAACTGGGAGAAATCTGGTACTTACTTACCTGGAATCTGCAACTAATTTAAATGTGTGTTGTGTAAAAGTTATTTTTTGTGGCTTTAGTTGTTTCTCTATGTACTGATTTACTTCTGCTTAAGGTGAATCTTGTGCATGAGTTGTCAGTGACATTTCTGCCTTTGTTTTTCCTCTGCAGTCAATGGCTCACATCTTAAAAGCGAGGAAGGTATTAACAGAACCAGAAGTACGATACTACCTCAGGCAAATTGTGTCAGGGCTAAAGTATCTTCATGAACAGGAAATCTTACACAGGGATCTTAAACTAGGTAAGTTCTCCAGATTGCCAACTTCAAAACATACTTCTCCAGCCCTGCTGGCATTGTACCGCTTTATCCTTGTATGGTGGTAGTATGTTTAGTAGAATCAGCTTAGTCTGTCTTTATGGTGGAAACTCATAGTGCTTAAGGGATGACATTAAGCATTCCTAATTAAAAAAAAAATCTTGCCTAGCTTCTGGCTCTGAACAAAGTATGACTCAGCACCTGTGGCAAATGCATTCCTATCTTGCCAGAGATGGACTAACTAGAATTTCTTTGTCTGACAGGTAACTTCTTTATCAATGAGAACATGGAACTGAAGCTTGGTGACTTTGGCTTGGCAGCTAGGCTGGAACCACTGGAACACAGAAGGAGGTAGGAGCATCAAAAATGTACAGTCTAGTAGTAAATTAAACTAAATTCATAGAAAATGAAAAGTCATGTTCCATAGCAAAAGCTAGTTACTGCCCTTCTACTTTCATGAAGACAAAATGAAAAAACATCTATGCTGTTAAAGTTCCTACAGCTCCTCTTTAGATGTCAGAAGGAAAACCTGCCCTATGAAAAATAGCTCCTTCCTCTTCCTATCTGAAATATTAACCAGTTCTGTGGTGCCTTTGATTTTTCAGAACAATATGTGGCACACCAAATTACCTCTCTCCAGAAGTCCTCAACAAACAAGGGCATGGCTGTGAATCTGATATATGGGCCTTAGGCTGTGTAATGTAAGTACTTTTCTACCTTTGAAATGTATTATATCTATCACTGGCTTAAGCTTTTGAGAGTTCAAAGAGGACACAGCCTTGTATACATGTGTAGCTCAATGCAGAAATTTTTCATGTTGGGAGATAGATGAATCCTGTTTTTGTAGCTGTAAACGCAAGTATGGTGGGTATCTAAACTAGTTTTATTTTGCCTTTAAACAGGTATACAATGCTGTTGGGAAGACCCCCATTTGAGACTACAAATCTTAAAGAAACATACAGATGTATAAGGGAAGCAAGATACAGTCTGCCTTCATCTCTCTTGGCACCTGCAAAACACTTAATAGCTAGCATGTTGTCAAAAAACCCTGAGGATCGGCCCAGTTTAGATGAAATAATTCGACATGAATTCTTCTTACAGGTTTGTACTGTCTGCTATTAGTGTTTTAAAAAACAAAATCCACACAAAAATGCGCTCTGTGGTCTAAAAATTGTGTTGCATTTCCACAGGGTTTTACACCTGAGAGACTTTCTGCAAGCTGTTGTCACACCGTCCCTGATTTCCATTTGTCAAGTCCTGCTAAAAATTTCTTCAAAAAAGCAGCTGCTGCTCTCTTTGGGGGAAAAAAGGATAAGGCCAGATATTTGGACACACATAGTAAGTTTGAAGCCTAGATACAGCCCACTTACCTCTTGCATCAATTTCATATTAGTGTGCCTATGTGAGACAGCAACAGAACACTTATATCTGTGTCTCAGAGCTTTCCTGGGTTGGTTTTGACTTTTCTTGATAAGTATAGATGGTAGTCTGCCCACCTATGGTAGCTTATGTACGTGAATGCTTCTTACAGCACCCATATCTATATTGGTCATCCGTTAGTTTGTAATGTCTGTTGAATTTTAGTCTCTTACAGTGATTTGTGTATAATAGAATAATTTCTGTGGGAGACTATGGCAGGCTTAGAAGAAGTTGCTAGAGAGACATAATGCTTTCTGTAATTTAATAGCACTTCCAAATTCAGAGTTAAATCTTTTTTTTTTCCTGTGTTGCAGACAGGCTAGCTAAAGAAGATGAAGAAATCTACAAGCTCAGACATGATTTGAAGAAGACGTCGATAACCCAGCAGGCCCCCAAACACAAGACAGATGAGGTATATGCAAGTGCAGTTCAAATCTAGTAACAGTTGGGTGGAGTAGCTATAATTAAATTATATTTGACTTGGATATCAGAACTGGAGCTTTATGCAGCATAATCAAGCTTAAATGATTAGCAGAGTTGCTTTAAGAGGGCTTAAATAAGCATGACAAAGGTATGGTAACCTTTGTAGGGAGACTATAAATTTTGGCTTTTGAGTAATTATAGTATCTGCCTAGACTCCATTGTTGCCTGTGCATTAACTTGTCTGCCAGGTCCTATTTCTCAATATTTCAAATACAGGGCTTCAGTTCATGATTAACTAGGGCTTCTTAAAAGAGTAAATTGCTGAAATCTGTCTTTTAATATTTGGTGTTCAGACCTGTACACAGCTGCTCCCTTGCTAGGGCAAGAGAGCAGAGAACTGATTAATAGCCTGTAAGATGCAAATTGAAGATCTAAAGAATGGAAGGACCTAAAGTGCTGCTCTAAGCTAAGTCTAGCATGAGTTCCTTTGTGATCTTTGTACATGAATACCAGTTTCCCTAGAATTTATCATTTGTTGAGAAATAGGAGAGCCATGTAAAACTTGGGTGTAAGCCTTGACTTATGTTATGTTGTTTGGTGTTTACATGTCTGACATGTCTTCTAGGAGATTCAGCCTCTTATCACAACAGTGGTGAAGCCTGGAGCTTTGCCAGAAACTAAGCAGATTGGAGACTCCATTCGGATGATAGTCAGAGGAACTTTGGGAAGCTGTAGCAGTAGCAGTGAATGTAAGTGCAGCAAAATGTGATATCTGAATCTGAATCCCACCTTTATTTTCCTCATATTTTATAAGCTTGAGGCAAACATCTGCTTTTATACTCTTATTTCCGATGTTGGGAAAGCCAGTAATTTTGAAAAAATTAAACTAGAAAGTCATTAAGGCTAACTTCTTAAAGTCTATATAACTCAAGTGTTTAGAATGAAAGCTTTCTCTCTGTGTGCTCTTGGTCAGTCTAATAATCCTTCCTTTTCAGGTTTGGAAGACAGTACTATGGGAAGTGTTGCCGATACAGTTGCAAGAGTCTTGAGGGGATGTCTGGAGAATATGCCAGAAGCAGACAGCAATCCCAAAGAACAGCTGACAGCATCCTTCCAGTGGGTTACAAAGTGGGTGGACTACTCCAACAAGTATGGCTTTGGGTACCAGCTGTCAGATCACACTGTTGGTGTCCTCTTCAACAATGGGGCACATATGAGCCTTCTGCCAGACAAAAAGTAAGAATCATTACAAAGGCAACAACTCACTAAGGTAGTTTAAACATTAAATATTTGCTTTTCATCACTAACCTTTTTTTTTTTTTTTTCACTTTCAGGACAGTGCATTACTATGCTGAGCTAGGCCAGTGCTCTGTCTTCTCAGCCACAGAAGCCCCTGAACAGTTCATTAACCAAGTAACTGTGCTGAAGTATTTCTCTCACTATATGGAGGAGAACCTTATGGATGTAAGTTCAGCACCTTCAGGGTCTTGAGCTGTAAAAAGACACTAAATGTAAATGGAGTGCTTAACATAGTCTGTTCTCTTTCCTAGGGAGGAGACTTGCCCAGCCTAACAGACGTACGCAGGCCCAGGCTTTACCTCTTACAGTGGCTCAAATCTGATAAAGCATTAATGATGCTCTTCAATGATGGCACTTTTCAAGTAAGTGTGGTAGCATCACCAGAGAAAATGTCATAAAATACCTTATTGCAATAAAACTAGATAAACCTCAGAAACTGAGAGGAGAAAGGAGACAAACCACAGCTTACTTCTCTTTTACAGGTGAACTTCTACCATGATCACACAAAAGTCATAATTTGCAATCAGAGTGAGGAATATCTCCTTACCTACATAAATGAAGACAGGATATCCACAACGTTTCGTCTGACAACTCTTCTGGTTTCGGGATGTTCATTGGAACTAAAATACAGAATGGAATATGCTCTGAACATGCTGCTGCAGCGATGTAACTGAAGGAATTGACTCTGTTAAACCAAATGGACTCTTGTACACTGTGAATCTACAGTGGAGATGGTGGAGCAACTAGTATGTTGATGATGGATGTGTGGTGGTACGACAACTGGACTGTCCAAGTGTGCTGGGCACACATCTATTAGAAGCCTAAACCTAAACTTGTTGGAGTAAAATGTTGTGACAAGGAGTTCTTCGGATCATAGTTTTCCTTGCTTCATGTGTGTTAACGATATAACTTGACTTGAACTCGGAGCAGAGTGTGTCTGTTTGCTCTGTAAGAGAGCATCTCTGATGGAGTTAAACTGTGAATACACATCTGGAAAGGGAGGGAAGGGAGAGCTCCGTTGTTGGGGATAATTGTAACAAGCAGCTTCTGGTTGCTTAACTGTGAACTATGGCCATACTGTTTTTTTCCTTTTTCAAAAATACCCACACTTGTGGCTGGCAAAGTGCATTCCTTGTTAATTTTTTTTTTTAATTTATTACAGCCTAAAGTGAAGTATTTATTACTTTTTTTTTGGACCTTGGCATTTTGAATATAAATCTGTTGGCAATAAAGAATGGAAATCCTGAAGCATCATTCTCTACTCTTTCTCCAGTATAACTGAGCATGATTTACTTTGCATTACAAAAAATCCTGCAGATTTGCTTTCTATATGCTATTTTTAAAGAGTCTGCTACATGTCTGGATATGAAGGGTAGGCAGGTATGTCTGTGTCTATGCCCACTTGCAGTCACAAACAGCAATGCTGCTATTGTTAATTACAGCTGCAATCCTAAAAGAACTGCTTTTGGAGCTTACAGACTAATGATGTAGGCCTTGACACTTAGTTATTGTCCTAAGAGCTTAAAACAAAACTATGGATCTCTTCAAGATACTACATCCCAAAATTGATGTTTAACACTGACTGAAAAGGACTCTTTCTTCTGGGTAGTATGTTGGAGACTGAAGGATAAGGAGCTGTGTAAATTCTCCTCTGCTTGCTGGGAAAGCATTACTTTTATCAAGGTGCTGAGAATCCTGATACCTCAACAGCAGAATGAATTGACCATACCTATCACTTCCCAAAGCCTCTACTGAGCTTTATTTTGTGTTTCTACCCTTGGTTAATTGGTTATCCCAGTAAAGTAAAATCAAAAGGGTGAAAGCATTAAAGGGTGACTTAGTATATACTATAAATTGTAATTTGTCTTAGTAACACCTGTGGCTGTTTAAAGTTATCAGTTAGGTAGACTAAGCCCAAAGTTGACACTAAATTTTCTGAGACCAGCATAGGGGTGGCCTACTGCTTTCTGCAATCCTACTCCTTCTGAACATCCGCTTATGTGACTAATGGCATTCCAAAACTGAAGGCAGTGTCATTTGTCACTTAAAACTAAGTGCAAATAGGTGCAGTTATGGAGATATCATGGACTCCACGCAGGGGGAAATTGTTCGACTTATGGCCTGGGTTTATTTTTCTTAGATACTGCATAGCACCTGGACCTGTATAAGCATATAGCTGTCTTCAAGTAAATGTTCTGATGCAACAGCAAGCAGTTAATTGGTTACTTGACCTGTTCTTCCTGTAGCTGAATGAGGCCTTTTCTGAAAGACATCAATAGCCATCAGTGTATCAATCACAGCAGCTGAACTTAAGGAACAGGCAGAGTAATAAAATGCAGACTAAACAAAGTACAGATGTCAATCTGAAATAGTAAGCAGAGTACTTATCGCTGGCCTGCTTCATCTTGCAATAAGCATGTATAAATGTGATGGGGTTTGTTGTATTGAATACCATGCATTAAGTAATATTTATTTACTTCTCAAGTCTAGACAGGAAGACCCAATTGAGTTCTTCAGATGGATTCATTAATGTAACTCTAGGCAGTTCAGTGAAGTTAAATATATATTTGCTATAGTGAGCAGAATTCAGCTTCCCAGCTGTCTACTTCCTTCAAGGGATAATGGCTGATTTTATTCCTGAGAGGCCATGACTTACCTAATTCTGATGCACACATACAGCTACTGTTGTGTTCTTTCCCCTAATAAGTAAAATCTCCCTTTTTGTTTATGACACCAGTAAACAGTTTGCGTGCATTTAAAAAACAAAATTTACGAGAGCTGTAGTACTTCACGGGGAAAAACCTCATTTTGTTCAACTTTGTGTGCTAGAGAAAGTGCAAGCCTTTATTCAACTGCTATGATGTCTTAGTGTACAAAAGTCAAGTTTGTAATTCAGGCTCATTTAAGCAAATAAACCAGCTTTTAATATATAATATTTAATATTTGTATAAAGGCTTCAGGATGCTAGTTGTTTGTGGATGGTTGATACCTCACTAAAATAAGCTAAGTGAATGAGATATTTGTATACAGTGTTTATGCTCAGTGGTTGCTAAATCCTTATGTATATTTCTGATTAGTGCAGGTTCTGCTTTGTATCCTTACTTCCCTTTTTATTTTCATATTGGAAAACAAGAGAGATGTTTAGATCAGGTTAAGGAGAAATACACTTTTCAAGGTACCTTTGTTCTAGTCTCTGAGCCCAAAGAGGGAAAGCCATTTTAAAATTCTTGGTATAAGAACTTACATCAGGAACAAAGGTTTTGAAATTCTTTCTCAGGGTGTATCCTCTCTTAAATAAGATAGTGTAGAGCATTACTTGGCATTCTTTACTTAAAAACATAACTCCCTCTTGTAATTCTGCATATAGGAAGATAAATATTAGAAAGGCACTTGTCCATATCTTCTATATAACAAATGTCGTACCTTCTCTTGAAAAATGTGTTTTGCATTTTATGCTGGCCCAACAACTATTCTATTATATTGAAACCAAGAGAAAACAGCATAAAATCTAGTTTGGGAGTATATGTACTTGAAAGGAAATGTGAGGATTAAAAGATTAGGTGAAAGCACAAAGGTTTGTCAGGTATGAATTCTGGACACAATGAAATAACACTGACAAGGAAAAATATCTATTGTACTCTTATTAAAACATCTTTATGAAGTTTGAAAATAGATTTTTGCAAGTATACATACAAACTTTTATGACTGAGTGCACTAATCTGCTGATAGCAAACAAGTCAAGAAAATTATTCAAACAGGTCATGCTTCAGCATTAGCAAAATTTATTACCCACTGATGCCACTAGTAATTCAAGTATTCCAGGGCATTATGTAATCCTTTCCTGAAATTATTCCATTTCATTAAGTTCCTGTATATAATACATATGAGAAAAAAGAAAACAGTTTGGTTATATGCTGCTTTGCAATATTGAATAAAGTTCCAATATTCTGCAGGTTACTTAGGAAACTAGAAGAATATTCTGTTACTTTAAAGCTATCTCATTACTTCTGAAAATAGTAATATCAGAGAATGATCCTTCAGCTGCCCATCAATAACAGGTAATTTTGTGCCTGATTAAATGGATTCTAAATGTAAATTCAAATTTGTATAAATTTGACTAGATGCAGATCCAAGGAATCAACCAGAATAATACATGGCATGGACCATCACTTTTTAAAATTTGGTCTGGTTTTATAATTTTTGTGCCTTATGAACACCAAAACTGGCAGAATTGTCACAGTGTTAGACAGGGACATACAAATTAAGAGGTTAAATTCCATTTAAATATACATTTAAATATATATACCTGGAAACAAATATCATGGTGTTTGGAAATCAGGAGAATAGAAAGTAAAGGTTTAGCCTCTGGAATTTATCCATGTAAATTAGCTTAGGTATGGGAACACAATTTATTTGAAAGATTCTGGTTTAGTGGTTACACTTGAAACCATTGCATTTTCATTCTCTACTGTGAAATCATGGGTAAAAAAACCCCACATTTTCTGTTGTCCATAGCAAGTAGATATTATCTGAATAGGAGTAAGGCATTATCATGATTGATATTTTTTATGCCCTTTCCTGCGTACTATTGAAAGAAATGCCTTAATCCTCATGCTGAAAACATAAAAGTACATAAAATTGGCATGAGGCATTATTAGTACCAAACTGGCCCAGGTAAAGAGTTATTAAACATCTTTTCATCAGAGATAAAAAAGCAATAAGTCATTTTATGGTTATCTTCACTAAAGATTCTGAGTAAAGACCTGAACGAACTCACCTTTGGCAGTTTGTAGGCTGTCTTTTGTGGCAGGCCAGGAACAAAGACTAATCCACATTCTGCCCTCCTTACATATATTGAATGATCATGAAAATGACTGGCCATTTCATGCTGAGGGTTTCAAATGTTACATAAATGAAAAGGTGAATCAATCATTATCCACAAGTGAGTGGATGGGTAGATGGGTGCGTGGGTGTCTCTCCCTATACTGACAATCTTAGGCAGAGGTGGATTTTTTTTATTTGTCTCATTCCCTACCCTGAGGAAGAAATACCAGCTCATTTAAATTGCTTACCTGGATTTGAGATTTTTGAGACTGATAACCTTATCACACAACTAGGCCTTCCTAGACAAAGTGCTCCGAAGTGCTAAAGTAGCACAATTATCCTTTAGAGCCTGGTCATCTAAGACAGCATTCTTGTGGACCTTTCTTCTGAAGGATTGAATTCCCAGTATTTCACATCAAATGACCGTAACAGCAATGGTTAACACTATGAATAAAAGAAGCTCTGAAGTCACATTTTCAGGCTTACTGCCAACTCTGTAAGACCTCACCTGCTCCTGGTCATGCTCCATGGGTTTCACAGGCACAAGCATTAGAATAAAATTAATAGTAAATTGTGAAAACTCATGGAAATTCTAACATATGACATTTTATGCTCATAAAGTAGCCTCTGATTCATAGTTTATAAGACTTTTTTCTTTATTTATTGTAAACAATAAATTTTAATGTACTTTTATTGTTTTGGAATAACCTTCACTGGAGGAATGAAAGTAACAAGTATTGGGATTCTGAATCCAGTGGATTAAGACTATTGGTTCTGATGGGAGAAATGGAAGGCATAATGCATTATAAAGTAGACTGTGGCAGAGGAGGAAAGTCAATGAGAGCAGAAGAAAGGAAGTAAGGTTATTCCATCAAAGCAAGTTTAATCTTCTATAGAAAGAAAAAAAGCTATTTGCGTATCATCCTCAAGGCCAGCTTCTCATGCCTGCCATTGCATTAAGTCATGGACAGCTGCAATAAAAGATGCGTGAGAGGTGCAGTAAGTGGGCAGAACAGGAAAAGCTGGACTTTTTAGTACAGGGAAATTCAAGTCAGCTGAGACAAGCTCATGGTTAATTTAAATGCATTGTAGTATATATTAGCACAGGCTGCAACAGTTCCGTTTGATGTTTCTTTACATAGAAAATTTTAAAAGCTGGTCTGATTTTCAGATGCCCTTACCTCTGTTAATAATGAACACCTGTGGAAATGAAAGTGGATGATCTCTGCTTCCAATCAAGGTTGGATATCTCATAAAAGGACACAGAGCACAATAGTGTCAGGCAGTGGTTATGGAAAAAAGAATGTACACAGATTATTATAGAATTATTCTGTACTATATGATATTTCTGTCTAAGTATTTGCACTGAACTCATCCTCACATCTGATCATCTCCACTTAATGTCAGTTGCTTCTTGTTATTGTTAATTACAAATAATTAGAAGGTTAGCTAGGGAGCATGAGTCATGGCACAAGGGGTATGTGGGAACACGGGTTTACAGTGGGGTTCTGGAAAAAGTGAGGGAGCTCATAACACCAGGAGGAAAGGAAGGTGCTGGAGAGCTGTGACTCAGGGGAGGGAGGCCTGGGATGGAATCATGAGGGAGGGGAGGGCTGGCTGGGGCTGCCAGTGGAGAGGTTATTTTGGGAGGCAGAGGCCCCATTTTGAACTCTCCCCCGGCGCAAATATGTCATGGAGAAAGCGGTGGCAGCGAGGCAGGAGGCAGCCCGACGGACGAGGCGCGGCGGGTCAGCGGGCGGCAGGGCCACGGCTGGGCCGGAGCGGGCCGGGAGCTGCCCAGGAGATGCCCAAGGATGGCTCCGGCTGCGGGAGGGGAAAGGAATGGTCTTCGAGGTAGAAGTTCCTTGATCCATGATAATTGGCCCATTATGAGTCAATAACAGAGGACTAAGTGAGAGCTCACATTTTTGGAGCTGGGGAGGTAAGCTCCCGTCTTATCTCATAAGGTGACACAACTGGGAATGAGTCAAGTGCAGAAATTCAAAATCACAACAAAAATAAAATCTGGCCACATTAAATGGAGCTGAGCAGAAAAGGGAGACACTTGAGCTTATACATCAGCAGCCTTTCCACATCTGTTGCCAGGAGAGCCAAGAGAGCAGTTGCAAAGTGGGTCAAATGGAAGATTAGTAGTGTGAAAGTGAAGGCAGTCAAAGCAGGCATCATATTCACACAAGGAGACAGGAGTGCAGATGGACAGGTGAAAACAAAAGCTGAGAGAATGAATTCCCCTCCAAGTAATGGAGAGGCAGCACACTTATTACACACATCTCTGAGGAAACCAAGTATGAAGTGAGTGTTAAGAGAATTTTCACATTCTCAGTAAAACAAAGGATTAACAATGATCTGATCCAGTTAGATTAGTGGTGCCAGCACTGGGGCCAGTATTGCAAGACAATGCATTACTCTTCTGAGTCACTGGTTTCGTTCTCACATGGGCCTTTATTAACTGCAAATCTTTATGTCCTGATGGTTGCCTCATGTGAAATGAGTTGGTGGCTCATTCCTGTTCATAGTGAGAAGGTATCCACGTTAAAAAAATCATCACTGCTAATTACAAGCCATTTGCATTAATTGGTATCCTTGCTGGAAGTCTTCACAGGGAAGAAGTCTAATGACTAAACAGCAGGCATGGAAGTTAAAACACCCTGTTTCCATGAAGTTGCTCCTGACTGGTCAGGGATTATGTGGGGTATTTGGAGTGGGTCACACATCTCAGGCAGTTGCTGCCTGAGATGTGTGATAGATGGGTGGCCTTTTTAGAACCAACAACTGATTTTCTGAGCCTAAACTTCCAGCAGTGATGGTGATTTGTGACTTTTGTATGCTGTAGCTCTTCTGGACTACTGCTTAGTCCAGAAGATCTACAGAATAGAAAGAACTTCC